AAAAAAAAAGAAAAAAAGAAAAAGAAGAAGAAGTTAAGCTCGTTGCAACATGGCAACTGCCTCAACGATACCCGAAATTGAACCTCCCCCACCCTAATTCAGATCTGGGGTTTGGAACCATCTTGGTTTTCATGTGAAGCATGACCCTGAAGGTAAGCGCGTCATGGGCAAAAGTAAAACAGTATGTCGGATGTGCCACACAATGCTCAATTGGTGGGAACTAGTGCATTAGCGCAGTTAACTCGTTAACGTGTTGACGCCCCACGCACGGAGTGATCCGAGGTAACTTGTTAATGGAGATTTTCCGCGTCATTTTAACAAGATTAACGCTGACAGCACTAGTGGGAACACAACGAATAGGACTGCACATTTACGCCGACATCATCCTAGTGCAAAGACAAGTGGAAGCAGACAAAAACAACAAGCAAGCATGCTACAAACTTTACCCGTCATTTAGACAGCCGTTAGCACATGATTCTCCTTATGGGGACCTGATATGTTTAATATGCTGCTGGGAATATATCCCAGAAGAAGCGTATAGTATAGCTTTTATTTTGGAAAGAGCCATTTCTCTGTAATAAGCTCTCGTTCCCAAAGATGAGTGATTTCTTGATCAGAAAGATTTATTTATTTATTTTTATTATTTTGTTGTTTCAGCAACATTTAATTTAAAAACTGTACTTTTGAATTAAAATATATATTTATAATTTTAATAGATGACAAAATTAAAAGGCATGAACTTTTTTTTGTATCGAAAAAATATTGAACTGTGACACCAAAGTATCGAACCATCACTGCTGAAGACAAACAAATTGCTGTTCATCAATACTTTGAAACATAAGAGTTCAGTTTGAAAGCATACAACACAATATTTGTGAGTACTGTTGCATCACCACCAGGTGGTGCTTTTAGGTTAACTGAGGATTTTGTACATTACAAGAAAAAAACAAAAGAAACTCACTGGCACATTCAAATCTTTATAATTTTTTTTCATTAAAGGAAAGAAAAAGGATGAGTTTGAAGTCACAATCCATAGTATGAGTTTTTGTTTCTCTGGTTGCAAAATCAACCTTTATGGTATAAAATCCATATTCATATGTGGACAGTATCATTTGTGTTGTTATGTGTGAGTGAAGAGTAGATTTGATCCAGGTCCCTGCTGGCTGGATCAAGGCTCTGATAGATCGGATCGTCTGGCGTCGGGACTGGAGAACAATTCTCATAAAGTGTAACCTAGGGGGAAAATATACAGATTTGATAAAACTGTGACACATTCAAACAGAAACTGATGACATGCCTTAGCTTTAAGTAATTGAGGAAAATTGCAGAATTCACCACCATCCTCCCAGACATTTTCACCAGCACGATGCATCCGGACCTCACCACCATCATCTGCATGTTGGTAAAATACTTAGCTAACTAGACATAGAGAGTTAGACTCCATCCACAATTTTTTCCATGTCACTCTGCACCACTGCTCCTCGAAACCAAGCCCACTGCCTTACTTCCTGTAGAAACCAAACAGCGAGCCCATAAATGCAGGGCACAACAAAGACAAGCCACCTCGAC